GGGAAACAAGGGTCTAGAAAATTTTTACCTCAAATGAAAGTCCATGTGCTCAGGATTTCGAAAATAATATTCGTTTAGTTTCTGGCCGCCTTGATTTTTTTGTACAGAGCTTCGAAATCACCCCTTTTGACACTAGTTCGCCGCCATCTTGGAAGTTACGAATGGAATCGAGGCTATGACGTAGAATTAGTCAAGGACATTGTGTGGCGTGACAGGCTCGTACAACAAACAAACTCGCATTTGCGATCGACGCGAAAGAAGATTTATGTGAGAAATAATAAAGTATGGTCCTGCACTGTTCACTGTCTTGCCGTTGGCTGTTATAATACCTGCAGAAACACGAGAGGGATTTTAATAGGGTAAAGCTTCCTGACGATGTAGAACGTACATGGCGTGAGGGAAATTTACCGAAACCCTAACAGGCAACAACTGTTTTGTGTAGTCAGTACCGCCGATGAGTGAGATCTTCAGGTACATGTATATATTTTTTTCAATAATTATATTTGGCTCCTTCATGAAAATAGTGTTCCGTAACCCTTTCAAGATTAAAGAAAAAATAACGCGCCGATCGACCGCCTATCGAAACCAACAACTTTCTTCGCATTGACCCACAGTACTGTATCAACATTTACACAGTGCCGTGCCCGTGAGTCGAGATTCTATTGTATACCCAAGCTCGGAGACTTCATCCACTACAAAACCAAAACATTATTTAGAATCGCTTGGCATTTCTGAACAAAGATCGTCTTTTCTTAGAAGAATTGAATGAGCGACTGCCGGTTATCTAGTTTTTTTAAAACACTTCCCGGCTGCCGGGTGACACTGCGTACTGTAGCTGTTTTGTTTGTCAAATATAATTATTTTATTTTCCTTTTACAATTCGCATAGAACTTTGCAGTTATTTAGAACACCGAAGACCCTGAAAATATTCTTTCAATAAAATATACCATCATTTCTTTCCAACTTTTGAATGGTTTCTAAGCTAGGTTCGAACTTCGAAAACTGAAAAATATATCATTAATTAAATTAGCGCGCATAAATACACAGCGCTATTTTACCAGTTTATTAAAATATGTCATCATGAAAAATCCCAGTATAAATGTTGCAAATGTCTTCAAACGTTTTTATACTGACGAAGCGAAGAGCCACTATCATGTATTTTGTGGACTAGAATTGCGTGCAAAAATGTAATCTAATTACACAATTGTTTATCGTGTAATTGTTGAAAAGCAGATTATTCCGAAAATAAAAACTTTTCAATGAAACTAGCATGTTCGTCAATAAAACCTAATCTCGCTTGAATCAAAAAATTAAATCAGAACCTCATTTTAGTTTCAGCGATTGCTTGCAGGCGAAACTGCTTTCGGCTGGCCTGCGAATACAGCCGCCCGGAAGGTGGCTATATTCTCGGCTCGGCGCGAAAAGTACCAAATTATAAACCTGTGTTCGTTATATAAAGGATTCCTAATATTCTTACTAAACTCCAAGTGTTTTTTATTGATGGGCAAGAAACATACAAGAACAACAACAGCAATAACAATCGACATTATATCACCTTAATTTGCATCACAACAAACTACATAAGTTAATTGTCTTTTACGGGGGATTTTTCCAGTCGATCGCTGCGTACTTGGTTAAAGCCGATGACTGCGGTTCTGAAAAGTCGGCTTGTAAACACACCGGTCTAAACGATTTGTGATCTGTATAATGCATTTAAGCGGCGTTCCTGGAAATGGATGGAAATATTTCTCTATTTAATTAGCTTCTATTCATGTGCGTATTGTAATATTGTGAACGGATATACAAACTGTTTGCGTGCATTTTCTGCAGCTTTCTGTAAAGTTATTTCAGTCTGAATAAGCTGTTCTTTTAATAGTTTCAGATCCAGTCAGTCATCCAGAACATCCATCACCTAATAGCATATACTTTCCTGTTCCGTGGCCGGTGGCACAACTTGACAATACTGTATGTACATCACTCACGATTTCCATTGAAGGCGCGAACTGTAGAACATTTTAAAGATTCTATAAACACTCCTGTTGACGCTAGCTGTAATAAGAATTTCCCAATTTCCGGAATTGTATTTGTGCCCGTTGCCCTTGGCGTGCGTCTTTCGGTGTTTGTCGGTGTTTAGACATTTAGCGATCTTGAGTGGTTTTGAACCGACAGAACTTAGCTTTGATAAATGTTACATTAAGTCGAATACGTGGAATACGCGTGATGGTGTTCGAATACGTGACGAAACCCCGGCCTTTCGTTCGCATGAATCGTTCGAGAAACACCCTGAGTTGTTGTTCGCAAAAAGCACCCTAACATGTCTAAAGTATTAATATGGGCAGAAGAGCCTAATTTGTGATACGTGGTATTCCGTGGTATTCCTATACTGCCTGTAACAAGCGTGGTTTTTGCTGTAATCTATACTGCCTGTAACAGCGTGGTTTTTGCTGTATTCTAATCTCAAAAAGTTAATATTTCAATGGAGTTCGTATATGCCTTTTGTTTATTAACCAATCAAAACACCTTGCTACGCTTGCTACACCAATTAACTGATCGACCAATGAGAAGCGGCGTTCAAGGAGCTGCTAGACTACTGCAGCTCTTCGGATGCAGCTGTTTCTGGTTCAGTCTTGAGCAATACCAAGGTCGACGTCTTCCTCTAAGGAAGAGCCGTGTTGTGGCTCGAACATATTATGTAAAACGGGCGTATGGCCACTATCTGAATACAGTCTGAATCTATCTGTAGCTCGAGAAATGACTTGTTATCACTTTCTGCTTTCTTCCAATCCAACTTCCGGTGCGCTCCTTGACTAATTCTACGTCATAGCCTCGATTCCATTAGTAACTTCCAAGATGGCGGCAGGCTGGTGTCAAAAAGGGGTGATTTCGAAGTGCTGTACAAAAAATTCCAGGCGGCCAGAAACTAAACAAATATTATTTTCGAAATCCTGAGCACAACGGACTTTCATTTGAGGTAAAATTTTTCTAGACCCTTGTTTTCTCCGACCAGGCAATGACGTCATACAATTACCATAATGAAACATGGCGGCGCTCGGGATATTTAAACGGAAAACTGAACACTTCGCATTCGAACCAGTTATGGAAAGACTAGTTAATCTTAGGGGTGAATAGGAATTCGAGCCTTTCACTCCCAATAGTGCTAAGTTCAAAACTGAGGAAAAATCTTGATTTTCATTTTGCAAAATTGTCAAAAACAAACAGCACCACTTTAAAGTACTGCTCAAAAGCTTTCATTTGAATGGTCACACACAAGGGTTTCATCCACAGACTCAAAAGTTACAACCCCATTTATTGACTAAAAATGTGGCCCTGGGAGTGAAAGGGTTAAGGTGTATCACGAATCAAACTCCAACTTTGCTTGTTTCAATTTATTCACCATCGCTGTACAATTTGCGCTATTTCGTACAATTTAAGAATGTTCTTTTCTTATTTCGTCTCAGGCACCGCAACACATCAGTTTTAATAATAGTGTAAAGCAATGTCTGACGACACGTTGTTTACGACTTTTGAAATTTCGAGTCCACACAATATAGGTGCTGACCAAGCTCTCCGGTAATAAGTTAACAAAGTCGTTTTGGTCACACCGACACATCGTGCGTCACGCTGGTGTGTCACGCAAGCTAGCGTCGAAGAGATGTCACGCTTCTCCTTGTGTCCTGATGTCATCGATTTTAAGAATCATTTTGACGAGCTGAGTGGCCAGACTTATCTGCTGTTTCTTGCCGATCAGCGTTTCAATCACGTGTTGTTCTTTCATATCTGCAAAGGAATTGAGGACAACTCAATCAAACAAGCGAGGGAGGAGGTGTGGCCAAGTGTTTAGGGCGCTGGATTTGAAATCTGGAGGTCCCTGGCTCAAATCCAAGATCCTGCCACTATAGCTGGATTTGTTCTTGGTAGTGCCACGTTCAACTAAACAATCGGGGAAACAAGTGCCGGTTTTGGCAAATCTTCGTGGAAGGACTCAAAGAGTTTCCGAATCCTTTTATCCAATCAGAAACTAGCGCAAGCACTCACGAGTACTTCGAAAGCAATCAAGTTGCTTAGAAACTTTGGGGACGAACACCCCGGGCTCAGTCTGATACTTGTTCCCCCGACTGTAAACGATCAGGCCTTACACAAGTTTATCTTAAGCCTATGAATAGGCTCCACGGTGGGGATGGGGTAAAAAGAAAATGGTGTGCGAGCTGGCGAAGCCCCCGCCGCGGAGCCTATTCATAGGCTAGTTTATCTTCTACTAGACTTGTCAGAAGGTCGATTGTTTGTTCATTTACAGTGTCCCAATTACAAATCGAATGCAGCTAAGAAATGCTAAAGATTAGCCAAAAATATTAAGGAAAATTGATATCTTGAGTATCTGTGGTGTGCCTAACAGTTAAAGCAGTTATGTTGTGCAAAGCAATGATTCTCCTCAGAAGAGCATTGCATGACGACCCAAATAACGGCTGCCAAGGTAGCTAAACAAAGGGCGCCTGACCGTTGTTCCAGTCATAGAGAATCAGACCAACATACCGTTAATTCCAGTATCCATACAGTCAACACCGAGCCTGGGATTCCCTTCAGCCACTTGTCTGGATTGATATCCCCACAGTTTGAATGGGATTCAGGCCTGAATTCTCAGCCAGAGCCAAAGGTATAGCTTCCAAGGCATCACTGAATGCTCTCATGGCGTACTGCTCCAGTGTGGAGACCTGAGAAAATCACAGTCAATCATCAAATAATAAAATTAAAAATCAATAGTAATAATATTGTAATTGGATCAAGTGGAGTACAATTCCAGGGTGTACTCGGGCGAGTAATTTAGAAATTTGAAATTACGAGCATGATTACTCCTGAATAGAGGTCGAGGTTAGGAAGTCTCAGAGAGCCTCTTTTTAGTTAAAATGTCAGTGATTTATTTATTCAGTCACTTTTACAAACGGTAAGAAGACAGCAAGAAAGAACCCATATTAAAATCCACATAATTGACGCGTGAATGGCATAGGTGTCCAATTTGAATTGGACATTTGTAATTGGACACCCACATGATCGCGCTCCAATTATGTAACAAATAGGTGCGCAGGGAACCCATCAGAAATTTTAATTTCGTTATTGATACGATTAATGGTTTAATTGCATGCCAGATCTGACAACAGCTAATTGTCAGGGTTTGAAATTTAGGTGAAAAATCTAATCTTAGTTTAAATGTAACCTTAGCTAGTCATTGTTTTTCTTTATTCTATTTTTAGGCTATTTGTAAATGCATTAAAGCTTCGCAACATGCGTTCTAAAAACCGTTATTATTATTATTATCATTATAAAAAGAGCACCTTTAATAGTTCTAATCAGTCGAGTACAAAAACTATTCTATAGTTAAGCAAATGTAAAAAATAGTAATAAGAAATAAACAACTGATGTCCGTTACCTGTCTGCTTCGTTAGTGACTGCTAATGAGCATGCCAGTTCTGTCGCTCCACCACCATACACCACGCGGTTATCACGAATGAGATTCCTCACTACACACAGTGCATCGTGTATGCTCCTTTTCGCCTCTTCTATAATCTGTTATACAAACCATAGAACACTGTGAATGCTCCTTATAGGGCTTTTAAACTGTACAAGTATACAGATGTACATGTATTATTTTTGGGAACACAATCTTTGAGGTTTCAGACATTGATTATAAGGAAGTAAGAAAATATAGAAAGCCAAGTCAGTTGCTCTTTTTAAATCAGCACCAATTTTTCAGATGATTACAACAGCACTGTCTATTTGAGAAGATCTGACAATTACAGACACACACTGAAATTATTTCTTCCCCAAAGGAAAATAAAAAAAGGAAAATAAAAAAATATGTGACGGAAACATATTCATAACAACATAATTTATACAGCGAATACAATCAGAAATTATTGCACAGTGGAACCCCACCTTACAGCCATCCCGTTAATATGGCCACCTCATTATTACGCCCACTTTATTTTGGCCCGAACAAAATCTAAGTCAGTTATTTTCACGTTATTACGGCCAATTTTCTTTGGTCCATAGGTGTCCGTATTAAGTGGGTTCCACTGTATGTATAATAATCATGTTGAACGACCCTTACCATTTTGTTTCCTCCACGGATAAAGATTGTTACAGCTCGCGAGTTCAGGCACTCTTCAATAACTAACATCCTGTCTTTTGTGGTTCCAAAACTGAGCTCTTTTACCAGACCAGCCTTGCCGAGTTTATCTGCCGTCAGCTCTGAAAATCTTGGCACGATTCTTCCACCAGTTGCAATAGCAATAAGCTAGCGATAAACATAAAGTCCAGTGTTGCAGTTCATTATTTTATGATTTCATGAATTCATATTGGAGGGGGACATTGGGTTTGCGGTGTTGCGGTTTGCGGCGATGCGTTCTGAACCATTTATCTTATGGTTTTACAGTATTTTTGATTGAAAATTTTGGTATTGCGGTTCTAGCATTTTGAGCAGTGGTGTTTGGTAAAAGTTCTAATTTTGTATGGTACATGTATTTAATTTCGGCGAGGGAAGTTTCCTTACAACGTTAGTAAGAGAGGGAATTTTTCTTGAGTTTTCAGCGCGGTTTTCGTATTTGAGGCTGAAATCTTGCGGTTTTACAGTTTTGGAGACGCCCCAATGTCCTCCACATAATAATTTAATATTGTTGTGTACAGCAGGGCTCGAAATAGCAGCCTGCCAATGGCCAAATGGCAGGCCAAATTTCAGGTTTGGCAGGCGAAAATAACGATGAACTGCCAAATGGATAATAAAATGGCAGGCGAAATTTACTGGACTGGTTTTGTGACATTTTCTTCTCCTCTTACCATGCTCCTTTATCTACTATTCCTTTCCACGAATCAATTGGCCCCGATGAAAAATTTAGTAAAAATGTCAATTATGTGGCAGGCCAAAAAAGAAATGGCAGGTCAAAATTTGTTTGGCCTGCCAAAAATATAAACAATGGCAGGCTATAATTTTTTTTTCTATTTCGAGTCCTGGTACAGCGGTAATTGCCTGGCTAAAAACTTCCTTCAACCACTTCCAAAATAATACATACATGTAATACAAACATTACCTCAATTTCTGGTCCTCCAACCCATCTAACTGCAGCAGTTCATTTTGTAACAGAAGATGGTTAGCCTCATCGTCAAATCCCCATTGGCAGATGGCTAAATTAGCACCAGTATCCTTGACTTGTTTTACCATCTCTTGAAACTTCTCCTTTTCGTACTCTCGCAGCTTTTGGTAGTCTTCCACAGACGTCACATCCAACTTATGCTTAGTTTTTGGCTTGGGCGGCTCAAACGGGCAGGTCCAAGATAGCAAGTTTTGGCATCTTTGATGACACTGTGTCACAGAAACAAAAAGTTAAGTTTATTTTACATAATTTTGTACACTGCTTTACAAGCTATTACCAGGGGTAGCCATGTTACAGTGGCGTCCAGGACATATGTGCACATTACCTTCGGCATTTGCGGATGGCTCATATCTTTGTCCACAACAACTCCTTTAACTAACATCGTGTCGTCCAGCTTGCCGCCTTCCTTTCCTTCCATCTTGATTAATTCAAAGTCGACATCTTTTCTGTCCAAGTCTGCTACAGACAGTAATAGCTTCTACTGCAATCTCTGCTAGCTTTCTGTGACATCTACTGACACTGAAATGATACAATTTAAGAAGAGAGTCCAGCTGAGACATTAAATTTAATGCTACAAGACATGCAAGAAGAGAAGAAGTGTTTTTAGTTAGTAAGTTTACATACAAACAACTTGTCCGCCGTGATAAACTAGCTACATTTTGTACATTATCAGGACCTTTAATGAGCCCAGAGTGAGACTCCCACAAATGTAGCCCAGAATTCAATTCGCAGTGGGCGATTCAGTGCCTCATTCAATTCAAAGTTATGCCATTTGATTCAAGATGCTTTATTCGGATCGGTGGCAAGTCACTCAGTTCGAAAGTGTGCCACTCAACTGGCAATGAGCCATTAAATTTGCACATGATCCATTCATGACAGTAATACATTTGTACATCAATCAATTCAGTATCATTAATTTTGACATCATCCACCCTGCCATTCTTGCCCTCCCCTGGGCTTCCAACATCCCAGTTCCCTCTTGAGACTCTATTCATTGTTGGAAAGGACAGGGTGCAGGAAGTCTACAGAAGGCGGGAAGGCAGGCGTTCATCTTTATAGTTGTGTTGGCCTTGGATACTGTTCAGCCACAGTACTTACATTTTTGATCCTAGTGTTGTCATGGCAGTCCTGAATAAGGGATTCTGGGTTGTTTCTGTCAATGGGGAAGCTGTCGCATATCTTTATCAAGTTGTTCATTGGCTATTCTGGCTGCCAGCTCATATCCATCAGCAATCCTTATTGGATGTATTCCCCAGTCCAGCAAGCTGTTCAGCTTGTTCCAAAAGAGATCCAGCTAGAACTACGACAACACAAGTACAACAAATCAACATGATGACAAAAAAAACATATTTTTATTTTTACATTTTACAGAGTAATAATGCATTTAGTGTGGGAAGTTAAAAAGGTTAAAGTTTGTCTACAAGTCTACTAGTGGCTTATCAGGTCAGCGCTTAACTCCGATTTCCATAGCACGAAGCGACAAGGAATATTGCTATTCCCATGGATGGGACCATTGCAGGTAACCCCCCAGCATTTTTGCCAGGCTGCCCTGACAATTCGCCGTAACCATTTACTCCTGGGTGGAGAGAGGCACTGTGAAAGTTAAGTATATTGCCCAAGAACAATATGACCACGGCGCAGCGCTCGAACCCGGACCACTATGTGGGAAGCACTGTGTCTGTGTTGGATTGTGGATCCAGATGTCCAGGTTTGTCATGTAGTGTTTTGGGGCAAGACACTTTACTCTCTGT